GATGTGTGAAAATCATGGAGTTGAGGCTGGTAAACCAGTCCCCTTGCTGATCAACAAACACCAATATGCCAAAGGGTTGGGTTATTCCACACATCTACAAATTAGGCTTGAACGAAAATCTTAGGGGGTGTGAGGCCTCTGCTTCAAGAAAGAACTAAGGTCAAATGGGGTTAGTCTTGCAGAGTTAGGGGGTTTCCTCACAAGAATGCCTGCTGGTGATAGCCACATGATGGTGTGCCATGAGACCTAGGTGTGGTGATAGGGACTAGCATGGTAGCAACCAGTAACAACCAGTAAAAAAACCATTGTTTTACCAAATATGGTATGGTACGGTATGGTTACTGCAGTTACTGGTACTACCGAGCCTTTTGAGCCTTCCTGACTTCACAGCTAAAATATCATGTTGCCCCCCTGTACTTTATTCTGTTTTTCTGTTCTAGAGAAATGATAGACTCTTTATTGTCATTTAGACTTGTTTTACCCTTATTTTTGTTATTCAAATTAGGCCTAGGCCCCGAGCTTTGTGCAGGCCTGGCTGCTTCCTCGAGCCAAAAACTCAAACCCCATGGAGCAGAGCCGGTTTTCAATTTACAACAGGTAAAAAAATGCCAAATAAATTTGGTTTTATACTTTGCAGTATCTGGAGTCAGTATGACCTTGAATCTTTTTAAATATAATGCAAGCAAAGCTGAGGACAATTGCCTTTAACAATCCAACCAAAGCCTTGCATCAAAACAACAACAGTGTTCACTTCTTTGCCTTTCTCCGAGATGTAACACACTTTCTGGTGCTGTATCTATTCATTATAAGGCCAATTGGAGCAGAGCTTCTTGCAGCCATGGGGCAAAATGTACCCTTTCACTGCACAAACATTTGGGTCCATGTGGAATGGCACCCAAGGGGAAGGAATCATTGGCTTTGGTCTGGGGTCATGGCCTCTGAGCCCATTAAAGACACCACTTCAAAACTTTTGGAGGTTACCCTAACACTTCAACTTGTTCAGTGCATCATCACTGAATTGTTTAGCAAGAGCATGCCCGCACTTTTCAAAGCAGCCAAGACTTTTGCTGTCAATGAACAAGCCCAACACATCACTCATACTTCCCTAAACCATTATGAATGGATGTTGCACTTTCCACCAATCAAAAATCTAAGACTAAACCAACTGATTAAACATCTCTCTGTCAGTGAAATTTTGGCATGCACTCTTACTTTTGAGACCAACAAACAACTTGATATATCAAATACATTTTGTTTTATGGATATCTGGCAGCAGACAGTGAGAAAACAAATGACCTGAACTCATACATGGACAGTGTGTTCCAACTGGCAATGGGTCAACAACCGAGGTCTTTACCCTCCCCCACGTAATCCATATGGACTCCAGTGGACTCCAGTGGACTCCAGTGGATTCCAGTGGCCCTCTTACCAGGCCAGATTGGCTGGCAGAATGCCCAGTCCACTGGAGTCCAGTCCAGTCCAGTCCACTGGACTCCCACTGGACTGCCAGCCACTTTCCTGAGTCCAGTCCCAGTCCAGTGGACTATGAGTCCAGTCAGAGTCCAGTGGAGTCCAGTGGATTCCAGTCATTCCAGTATATTATTATTATTATATATGAATATAACTAAAAAAGCGAAAATAGACTATACAATATACAAGCCATACTTACAATTTTATTGATCAATGAATGGAAGGGTTATAATTTAAATATAGTGTGGGTCAGTGATAGCTGCAATAAGGATTCATGATTTTGTTCAGTCTGCGGGGTGAGGTCACGTGACTTATTTGAGGGCGTGCCATATCGTCACATTTTCTATTTGCAGCATGGTCACACTTCCGTGACCATCCCATTCCCTTCCACCACCACCACCACCCTTCACCACTCCCCTCCAACGCCGCCAACGCCAACGCCGCCCACGCCAACGACGCCCGCGCCCACGCCAACGACGCTCATGCCCACGCCAACGACGCCCACGCCAACGTGGAAGGACAGGCCAAGAACGAGGGACGGCGCCCATGACGTTGCCACGTCATGGGCCAACGGTATGTATGCCCCACCACCCCAATGCCCCGTTCTCACCACGACAGGCACCAGCGGCACGCGACAACGATGACGACACACGCGGACGACGACGACACGCGAGGACGACGACGACGACTACACGCGGGGACGACGACACACGACGACACACGACGACGACACGCGACGACGACGACACACGTCGACGACTACACGCGGGGACGACGACACACGACGACGACGACGACACGCGACGACGACTACACGTGGGGTCGACGACACACGACGACGACGACACGACGACACGCGACGACAACGACGACACGCGACGACAACGACGACACGCGACAACAACGAACGAGCGCCCACGAAAACCCCACCCCCACCACACCCGGAAAACGACACGCCCACGAAAAACGACGAGCGCCCACCACCGCCGACGCCAGCGCGGAACGGCGACGAGGGCCCAGCAGCACCACCCTTCCCCTCCACTCTCTCCCCCTATCACTACCTCCTCTCTTCACCACTCCCACTCCCCTCCACTCTCTCCCCCCTTCACTCCCTCCCCCCCTTTCCCCCTCCCCCTTTCCTTGCTCCTCTCTCCCCCCCTCCCTTTCCTTCCCCCTTCCTTGCTCCCTCCCCCCTCTATTCCTCTCTTCCCCCTCCCTTTCCCTCCCCCCCTCTCTTTCCCTTTCCCTTCCTCCTCCCCCCCCCCCTCTCTGTAACATAGAATTTAGTATAATTAATTAATTTAATTAATAAATATACTTCAATTTTATTTTTTGTTTTGAAGTCTAAGTTCAGGAATTCTGGATTAACTTAGGTCTGTGGCAGTCCAGTCCAGTCCAGTTTTGTGTTGGGAGAGTCCAGTGGAATCCAGTTTTGTAATTTGCAGTCCAGTCCAGTCCAGTCCAGTCCAGATTTGTGCTTGCAGTCCAGTGGAGTCCAGTTTTGTGCTGGGAGTCCAGTTTTGTGGATATTGCCAGTATGTAGTGAAGTCCAGTGGAATCCAGTGGAATCCAGTGGAATCCAGTGGAGTCCATGTGGATTATGTGGGGGATGGTAAAGTACTGCAACAACCATTCAAACAATATAGGCAGCACCGGTGACACCATAAGTGTCAATGAGCCATGGTTACTGCTTATACCATTCAAAGATCTTCCACAATCCACTTCCAGATTTGGATTTGAGTGTGGGTTTGCGCTTCTAATCCACCTTGTAGGCCTATTTCATACATCAAAAAAATGGGCCTTAAAGGTAATTTGCCAGTTTGAACTGTCATGCCTGGGGTGCTCATCAGGTTCCCAAACTAACACTCCTAAATCAAACAATGTCAGTCTTTGTGATGGCTGAGTACTGAGTACTGATTTGGTACTGAGTGCTCACCAAACTGGAAACCCTGTGGAAATGTGCTACAAGAAAGAAGCAACACAAAGGGACCATTGGTTATGTAGTAAGAAGATGAAATCTGAGCACTGAGCGCTGAGCTTTTGTAAAAATTTAAACCTTGTTTTTCCAACACAATTGACCTCCCCAAAACCTAGTCCAATGTGTTTTGAGGCTCAGTGGGAGAAGGGTGTGTACATAATTTGAACCTACTTAGAAGTAGAAATAAAGATATGACCAGGGACTCAGAAATACTTGATCAAAAATCATCCTATTGTTAGATTTTGAAATCTGAAGGTTCTCTATCCCTCATCAATGACTCATCTGTTGCAGTACTTTGCCTTGCCCCATTGATTGCTGCAGGAATGGAGCCATTCCACTGGAATCCACAGGAATGAACTAAAAAGGATATTTCCTCTGGAATGGGCCTGGATTCCATAGGATTCTGACAGAAGGGACCTGTATAAGTGTTGTAAATACAAATGTGTGTGTATAAACTAACTTTTGTCAGCTGTCAGTGTTATTGTCCTTTTTAGAGTATGCACTTTCCTTTTTGAGCCAATTTCCCCACAATATAATAATTGTAGCCCCTTCTCTCACCTTTCTAAATGTGTTGAAATCATCTTGTTTGGTATTGTTTTCATGGAGAAAAATGCAAAAAGGTCAAAAAAAGTCGGTGATCAGAAATTCGTTTACCTCATATCTCCACAATGGGAGCACTTTAGAACATACTTCAAACAGATTCAGGAAGCTACAGTGTAGAGCTACAACTTTTATTTTGGCTATTTTTGGTAATTGGTCATGTGACCATCATCCTGATATCCTGTTGAATGAACACTGACATGCAGAATCATCATTATCTTGTTTCTTTTCTCAAATTTCCTTTTTTGGATATGTACCCTGAACCTGACAACAGCTATTTGAAAATGTGCACAGACCCCATAAACAGTACCCCAACATTGTCAACAGTAGTCTATACTGTTTTTCTGTTTTTCTGGCTATACTTTCACTAATTACTATATTTAGAAATGTGCACAGACCATGTAAATACTACTCTACAATTGTCATCAATGGCATACATTATGTTTCTCCTTTTTTTTCTCTTTTTTTTTTGGCTATATTTGCATGAACTACCATATTTGGAAATGTGCACAGACCATGTAAACACTACTTAAAATTGTCATCAACAGTGTACATTATATTTCTTTCTTTTTCTCTGATTTTCCTGATTTTCTGGCTATATTTGCAGTACTTACCATATTTGGAAATGTGCACAGACCATGTAAACAGTAACCTAACAACACCACTACACTGCCCCTATTTTATTGGTATTTTTCATCTGGAAATGTAAAACTTGCCATATTTCGGAATTTTTAGTGTTCATTCCAGTCACTTCATTCCAGTGCCATTCCATTCCTGTGCATTCCAAGGACTGTTCCAGTGTAAATACCAGAATAATGAGGTTCTGAAAATTTGGCTGGTAAATTCCACTGGAATCCACAGGAATGACTGGAATCTGGCAGGAATCAATGGGGCATGACTAAGACCTCCATCTGTTGTGCCCAATTTTCCTCCTGTCCCCTCTCTGCGCATCATGTTCAAGTGCCTCATGGCCAAGAAGAAGAAAAACTCCAAAAAGTTGTGTAGCAACTGTCAAGCATGACTCAATGTTGAAAAAAAACATGATGGAAAAAAAAAAAAAAAAAAAAAAAAGTAATTAACAGCATAAGCTGGTTGACCTTTTTACTATTTCCCCCATACTCCACCATCATATCCACCATCTACCACCAGCTTGTCGCTCTCGTGGCTGTGGTTGAGAAAGAGCAACCCAAGATTGTTGGGCTCTTAGAGGCAGTAGATGGAATCAGACAAGCCCATATGGCCAATGAAGAACTCAAAGGTAGCTTCACATTCCACATCTCCCTCAACACCTGGAGGTTCCCCACATCCAGCTGCCAGTATGACACAGGCTTCCCTGACTATGTGAAGAGGGCATGGCTGCAGTTTTGTGGCTCAATGGCACATCAAGTTCAGTTCATGATCCCCATATCAGGCATCATGATAGGGTATGTGTTTGCAATTTGTTTTTCACTGTTTCATGGATTAATTATATTTCTGTCAATGCAGAGCATCCGCTGTCCTATTGACTCTGACAAAAACTGGGGATATCATTCAGTTTTTGGCCCTAGCAACGATCATACTGTTCTCAGCATTACTTAGCTTGGTCATCTACCTAGTATCATATGAAACATTGGATGACAGCATCCATTGTGCTCTCATACTGACCAAGGTCTTTACAAAAGTGTCAGTGAGTAATTGGACCACATAACTTTTCGTTGTGCTGACTTCAATGGTTACTAATCTGTAGGAGCCTGAGGATGGCAGGTGGAATGGGTGGAATGGTAGCCTGAAAGGATGTATTTTTCTGTCTCTGGTTGCCTCACAAATACAAGCCATTGCATAAGTCAATTTTATGAAAATTTGAAGTTGTTCTTGAACTAATTTTATGTTAGTTCAATGGGGCTTACCTTCATCATGATCACACTTTACCATTTCAAAGTGGTAACCAACCAGCATATATTGCAAAAAGTCTTCCTGGGCATCCTCGGTGGCCTGGCTGCCATTTGCGCCATACTCAATCTCATCTAGATTATCACCTTTCTCAGCAATATTGGTGACCCCTTTGAATACTTTGAACACAAATGGAATGAATTCTTCTTCAAGAGGATGAAAGACAGAAAAGACCTGCCATCAGCTGATGAAGTGAAGAAGTGGGATGCAACACTGGATTGTACAGTTTGTACTGACCTCCACAAATTATAGCATCTTTTTCTTTTCTCATGAGCTCAACAATACTTCTTCTCTTGTTTTTATCACACTTGAAGTGTAATTTTCCTAGTTATTCATCATTCCACTCTTTGGATCTTGCACAGTACTCTGTATTTATTCTTTAGTACATATATATGTGGTTGTCCACCTTTATCATCAAACATAGACAAATGGTCTTCTGCATAGTTACTACACTACAACTACAACCACATCAAGACCAGCCCAACCAACCCACTCATACACCCACAACTTCTCAACCTGTACCATCTTCAGGACACCCCAGGGTCTCCTTAACAAGTCTCCCTTCCTCCCACCTTTTCCTTTACCAGTGAGCAACTCCCGGTCCACAGACCACTTCTCAAACCCACTTATTACTCCCATGAGCTTCCACTCTGATCCTCTTTTCATATCTGTATTGAAGTTGGACTCTGTAATGAGATGTGTGAACCCTCCCTCTGGACAGATGAGGTACTCAAGGAAGAGGTTTCCGGTTTTGTTGTACATCCACCATCTGTTGCATTCTAGACTCTGTTTCATGTAGAAGAAGAATGAGTTGTTTTGGCTTTTTGTTGGGAGGGAGGAAGGTGGTTGGGAAAAGATTAATGGCAGGGAAAGGTCAATGGATAAAGAAAAAAGATGCTCATACCAAAAAAGGCACTCAAAAAAAAGCAAAGCACGGTGATGCCCTTATAATAACTCTTTGTACAACCTTTAAATCTCAACACCTTGCCACTCTCTATACCAAGTGCATGGTGTCATGGAAGTGGCCTCTCCCCCACTATGACACACATGATGTGTTGGTAATCACTGACTTTCTGTAAATGGTAGTCTCACATGACTTAGAGCAATGTAGGCTTGTCTGTCTTGGCAAGTGACCTTCCACAAACTACACAAGAAATATGGGGTCTATCATATCAAGATGAAAATTACTGACCCACCTGACCATGATAAGCCAAAGTTCAATACAAAAACAAAAGTCGCTCAGCAATTGAATGTAAATGCAGCACACAACTTACCTGTCTGACCACAAAAACTGACTATGACTCCTGACTTCAATAACTGAGCATAGTGTTTGAAAGTCTGGTTAGGTTAAGTTATTGGGTGCCCAGGGGCTCTAACCGAGACTGAGACCGGTTAGGGTTCATTCCCAGACCCAAAATAACCTAACTGGACCAAAGATAACCGACCAAAACCAGTTAGTTGCAGTTACTAACCAGTTAGGACTGAAAAAATAGAAAATTGATTAAAACAGCATATATTTCTCATATTTTTTGCAGTAAACATTATTGCCATGCATCATAGCTTTAAAACAAGCCCAAGAACGCTAAATTTGGTGAAGAATTGACAATGTTATGATAATATTCTTGAAAATCTACTATTTTGGCCGATATTTTCAATAACTCAGTCAAATTTTAAGTGTTTTTCATGTTCCTAGATGCATTTTGAAGGGGTATATCAGGGCCAGTTATAACCGGTTATAACCAGTTTTTTAATGGTTAGTTAACTGCATAATAACTGGTTATTTTACTTTTGAAATGGATTGACCCTAACTGCAGTTAGGTTAATTTTGTGGTTAGGTCTGGTCCAGTCTCAGTTATTTTCCAGTTAACTAACATAACTTCCAAACACTAACTGAGCAGAACCCACAATCATGATCCCATTCCTGGATCCCTGACTGACCAGGCCACTGCTATTTATCTTGACTCAAGTCTAGAAAGGGCAGGGTAAGGAGTAGGGAGGGGGGTGCAAACCAAAGGTGTCCATTCATTACCAGTCATAAGATGCATACAAAAATGTCAAGTTCTAAACAGGAGGGCAGGGAGGAAGGACAGTGTCTGGTTTAGCTGTGGCCTAACCATGTGCTGATGTGACCTGTGGGTAGGTAGGGAGGATGTATTTGATGGGGGTGGGCAGCTGGGTGCACCACATACTCCCTCAGTGGCATCTTGGGTGTGAATTGGGTGGTGGTCTGACCATGTGCTCAGGGTTACAGGGATGACCACCCATTCATCCATTATTGCAGTTCTTGCTTGAGCTGGGGAACAAGCCATATGAGCGTGAGGAGGGGAGGCAGTAGCACAATGTATGTAGTTTAACACGAGGGAAAGTGATTGACGGGAAACAACATTGGTCTTGCCCTTGATTATGACTGTAGCATGTCATGTGTACAGTAGAATATAGTAAGATGTTGAATCATCTCTGTGAATATGAATGTTCAATGGGTGAGGACGATGCATCCTGACATTTAAAAATGCTACCTTTTACAATGGAGTCAGATTCCTAAGTGAGTCAATGACTTGAACAAACCATCTGTTCCTAAGCTGATGTATTGTTAGGCTCAATTAGTTAATGATGCAGTTCTGGTAAATGTGAATGCCCTCTGCCAACAGAGTCCTCTTCTTTCATCTACTTTAACAGCAGAAGCTGTGATTCACATTGACTGTGAGGATAAGAACAAGCTTTTGTGGTAAGGTAGTCTGTGCTTTAGAGCACTCTTTGATAAGTGCCATTAAAATGGCCTCTGTGTGTACTGTACTGGTAAATTTGTTACCCTTCTTTTCCAAATTCTTGATGCTCTTTTCATAGTTGGGTCACCATTGTACATCCCTAGAAACTCATCAAGCAGAGCCCTGATTGGAGTGACTGCCTGCTTTGGAACCTAAACCTTGATGATGTTTAAGGAGATCACTCCTTTTGGTGATCTAAAAACTTTAGAAGAGTCCAGCCATGCATAGACTTGATTTCAGGCCACAATAGCTCTGAAGTAACACATTAAAATCTGGCTGGCAGGTTCTGGTCATCACTGCCAATGTCAGAAAGCATATCAGCTCTATCAGACTTGCTGCCATCTGCATTAGCATCACCAAGTGAGGAAGTACCATCTGCATTTGCAATTAAGTTATTCTGAAATTATCTTTCTAAAGAGATGCTTATGTAAATCATTTACAACATATTGTTTTTGAAGATTCTCCTGGATAAAGTCAACCAAGTCCAGGAGGCTGACAAGAACATAGACCATGTGATGCAGCTGCTCTAACTGGGTGTAGAAAGCATGCCACTCTGTCTTCTTGGTTATGCACTTCTGTGTTGAGACCTTGATGGAATTGTAGATGAAGACAGGAGTTTTGATCCATGGCAAAGCTGAGCTGGTGTGAAAAATAAAATAGAGAACACCACCACAAGTTTCAAATGGGACACCATTGGACATAGTGTTTGAAAGTCCAGTTTTTTGGCTTTTTGACCCTTTTTTTGAGCTAGAACGTTGCTGTAAAAATTCCCAATCACAATTAGGGTGTGGGAACACAAAATTTCAGGGTCAGTCCAGTCTTTTTCTGGTCTTAGAACCAGAAAAATTTCCCTTTTGGGCACCCTAATTGTGGGGGGAATTTTAACTACAACATGGTAGTGGCAAAATTGACCAAAAATTCAAAAAGCTGGACTTTCAAACACTAATTGGACATGAAAAATGCTTTCAGTTTAGTCCCAACTTCATTATGCCAATGTCTGATAGCCTGGCATACCTGAACCTGTCTTGGTGGAGTGACCACAATGCTCCAGATAGCTCCAGCTCCTCTTTTAGCAGTCTCTCCAGAAATTTTGACCTGAATAGGTATCAAAATGCTTGTACTCTTCATGATATTTTGGAAAAGATCACCTGATGATTACAGATAGAGCCAGGTAACTATTTTCAATGTAATGTTTACCATAGAAGCACAGGACTGATTTAGCAGGGATTTTAGTAATGGTGCAGCATGCTTCAGATAACATGACATATATGGTGTGAAGAATTGTGGAAACTGGCATTGGTAAATCACATTCAGAGGACAAGATGTGGTGGCTGGAAGAGGATTCAATGGATTAATTTTGGCTCATTCCGCCTAGAACTCATCCTGCTATGCACATATCTCTTTTCACCAACCCAACCAACTCTGATATCATGGCCAACTCTGGTGCCATACCTCCTCTGGTGTTGTTCCCAACTCTGAGTTCCTTGTCTGTTTGCAAGTTACCTTTGCTGCAACCCACTTCTGCACCTTTGCTGAACCCTCAGGTGCACAATGATGCACCTGCAATGTGGTAGATGTGTCAGCGAAATGCAAAACACAAAACAAAACAAAAACAAAATGCTTCAGAGTAGAGTAGCATTGCTTTGAGTGGCTCTGAAAGTGTGAGACAGAGGTTCTGTAGTCTTCTCAAAGTAGGTGATGTAGGTAATAATGGTCGAAATTCAACCTACTTTTTCAACTTGATGTGGATAAAACTTGACAGGTTGTTTGGTTGATTTTCATCAAATTCAGATTGGTGATCCCTCTTTTCAATTTTTGTTACCCATTTCTAGTGTACTGTCAACCTATTACTAGTGTATTATCAACCTATATTAAGTTGAGTGTCATCAGTTTTCAGGGTATGTTTAAACATTGCCTAAATTAAACAGGATATCTTCTGCATTGATGTTCTAAGCATTTAATGTAAGTTGTACTAAAGCCAGGTGATAGAATGAACAATGCCAGGCTGGCACCCAAAATATTTAGGTAAGTAATGAGCCTGTGGGAGATATGGCCTCCCACTAAAACATTCACAGACATGCCCACAATGCTAATGTTGACAAAATCCATCAATTTTCAACCTCTCCAACCTCTCCATCATCCATTGCATCCTGTGCATCCTCCACATCAAGCTCTTGCTCAATCCTTTTTAATTTCTGATGGCAAGTAGTTTGCTTCACTTTCTGTTTGGCTACAAGAATGTGTCCACCCTTTTCTTCTGAGATGCTGTTGGATTATGCTTGCTCACATTGTCCTTGAGGTTTATGTAATTCT